TGCTGCTATTGCCACAACGCATCCCCTTTACTATTTTTTTGCTGTCCAGCTACCCCAAACAACCAATTGCTACTGTTTGGTTTGCCTCCCCTTGCTGCCCTATTTTTCCAGCCTACCCATGCTTCCCTACTATTCCAGCCACCCATAATCACAGCCGTTCCTCACCCATAGCGCAAAAAACTTTTCCTAACTTGCCGCTATCCCATCGGGCTCTCTAAACGTCACCACCTACACCTTGGATCTACCCTAACGCGAGTTCGCATGTTGTGTGTTTTGTATTTTTCCTTTCAAGTATGTGTGATTGTAACCTCTTCCAGTAAAAATATTTTTTTTTTCTAATTTTTTTTGGGCTAACTTCGATATCATTTAGTATCAAAGCTAGCCAAACCCTAGTCATATCTTAGGGTTTCTAGCATCCACTAAAATCCTATCCTATCACTACCTAAAATTTTTTTCTCACCCTATGTCACTCTTACATATCACATTCCACTGACCCACAGCCAAAACCTAGCCATGCCACCAAGGAGATAATTGTCGGAAGCCTGTTAGAGGTTACAATACATGAGAAATTCACAAAGAGGTGCCCAGGAGCTTTTTAGGGAGTATATGCATTGGGAAATCCACCAACTACAACAAAAGCTTGTCACCTTCGAGAGAAGTCAATCCGAATGTGTCATTCTTAGCCAAAATGGTGCTTTGTTAGATCGAGTAAATGAAGTGAACCTCTTCCATCATGTGGATTATAGGGATGAACTTCTACCTCGAAGTTGTGACCTGAAATATCTGAGAAGTCAGAATTTTAAAGTAAAAGTGGATTTGCCATAATTTAATGATCACATGGATCCGAGCAAATTTGTCCAAGTGGCTTTGGACCCTGGATTATGTTTTAAGTGCCAGGACATCCTATCAAATGGATTGGTGAAACTAGCTAAAGAAGAGTGCATGATTTTGTTTTCAAAATCTGAAGTACTCACACTAGCGAGAAGGAAAAGATAAAATTGCTACATGGCCTAAGATTAAAAGGGAGATGCAGCGCCAGTTCGTACCCACTAACTTGTTTGGACCCCAACTTCAAAGGAGGACATCCCACGTCGTCGCGACCATTAAGTTTTATATGTAGGGTTCAACTTTAGGATCTTATAGCTAGAGGAGACCCAAGAGAACATCCAAGCTCAACCCACCTGAGAAACTAGTTCAAAATGGAGAGCAGAGAGCACCAATCCGTGTTCGCAAATCCATCTCAGCCAGAAAGTATTTTAGTGTCACAGATTTGGGCATATTGAACCAGATTGCACAACTAGGAAAATGATATATTTCATTGAACAGTGAACTATCGAAAAAAGGATAATGACACAGTAAACACTGAAGAAGATGGGGACATAAATAGAGAGTACCATCTTTCTATTGATGAAAAAATACATATAATTCCAGCTTGGCCCATGAGAGAAACTCCAACTGAATTAACAGTAATTGTCCAAGATAGTCTTGAGTTCGAGGAAGCGACACCAGAGGCATGTCAACCCCATATAAGAAAAATTAAGACTTTTTAAATCTTTAAACTCCTTTCTAAGTTGCCCCTACTGAGGGAGGTCCATCATGTCAGGAATAAGACCATTTTTGTGCCATGTGAAAGATTATATGGAATTATTCAGATACTGGATTCAATTTCACAGTGTGTCGACCATCAAATGTTCAGACAAGAGGGATGTATCACAGCTTTGAAAATTATATTTGGAGCCTTGTGGGGAAAAAAATTCTTCAATGGGATCTTGGTTGTTGCAGCGAAGATGGAGAAAAGACCTCTCCTGGGTGGTTATTCTTTAGTGTGGTCCAACCTGCCATAGATTTTGTCCCAGAGTTGATTCCTTCTTACGTGTTTATTAGATGCACTCAGACGAGTATAGAGAGTTGAAGAAGCCAAGTACATATTTGATTGCTCAAGGCTTGGATTCTGAGGATACGCATCCGCATACAGTTCAATTTATGATTGTGCCAAAATAGGAAATATACTTTATCATGATATGCTTTGGAATGTTAACTCCAACATAATTAATTTACTGGGAGATTATAACATTTTCGCCACCTTTAACGTGGCCAACCAGATTCCATACAATGAGGATACAAGCTTCGTCGAATGAGGTCGAAGCGCCCCAACTCCGAGAAATTGATGTGGGAGCTCACCGCCCAAAATTCCTACGGTACTTTAGTCGTTAGAGTATCTCGGGAATAGCTATAGCGGGAGACATGCCTAAATAATCCTGTTTTTTCTTTCTTCTGATTTCTTTCCTGTTATGCTTCATTCCCTTTTATTTATTTCCTATGTATGTGTTGTATTAAAGTTTTATAAGAAAGAACATCAAACAATGTCAAGGTACAAAACACACAAAAACTGACTTCAAATAAGGGCGAGTTTTATAAGAAAGAACATCAAACAATGTCAAGGTACAAAACACACAAAAACTGACTTCAATAAGGGCGTAAAAAGGAATGAACACCCTCAGATTCTTTATAGAAAAGAACATCAAGCAATGAGATTTGATTCTAGCCCAAGCTGAATTTGCCTACAATAGGTCTATGAGCCATGCTACGGGATGCACACTGTTACTTGAAATAAGGACAGTTCACTCACGTCGCTTGAGTTAGTAGCAGTTCTCCCTAATACGGAGGCTAGTGCGGATGCAGAGGCGAGAGTAAATGAAATTGAGAGGCTACATTGCTAAACAAAATCACAAATACTAGGCACAAGCTAATAAATCCCGAAAGAAGTCAGGTGTGGATTAGATTGAAGAAAAAAGAAATTTTTCTTTGGATCTCTTGGAAAACTCCCATAATAGATGGATCATTCGGAATCTTCAAGAAGTTGAATGACAATACCTAAAAGATTGATTTACCTGGGGATTACAACATCTCAGCTATCTTCAAAAAACAAATTTGAGCTTCGAAAAATAAGATTGGAGCTCACCCAACGTTGTGAAACTGACACGAGGTGTCTTTTGCCCAGTTGTGACCGAAAAATTGCTTATTGACATAGAACTAGTTTGCTCCAGGCAAGAGAGGGATTGATCGGTCCTTCTAATCGTGGGTTTTTTCCTTATTAACTCCTCTTTATCTTAAGTCTATATATATGTTATTTGTTGTGTTTTAGATTATTTTTTATTCAATTTTTTGTCAGGACAGATGTCGGTATCCAAGCTTCCCCTTTTAAGTTTGTATCCAATGTAACTCATTCTGAGGTGGTGTTTATCTACCCTTCCCTTTTCCCCCAACTTTTATCCTGGCCGTTTGACCTTTTGCCATCCTTGCAAGTATTGTTTTGACGGCAAAACTGCTGCTGTACAGCCTCCGCCCAGCCCCATCCAACCTGCTTCCCCTCGACTGACGAGGGGCGTCAAGCAGTGTGTATAATAGTGTAGAGTTTGCCATGTAACCAAGACCTGAGAGAAATTACAAGACTATACACACCGTCACCGATATCAGAGGCTCCTTGAGAAGATATTAGTATTGATTTCATGGCAGGTCTTTCGAGGACACAACAGAGTTAAGATTCAGTGATGGTTATGGTTGACGAGGTTTCAAAGATGGCTAATTTTATGCCATGCCACCTGACACTGGATGCATCTTATGTCGCTGACTTATACTTCAAGTAGATCGCGAGGCCACGTTGGATTGGCAGGACCATTACATTTGATAGGGACGTCAACTTCCTACGTCATATCTGGAGAACTCTATGGGAAAACTTGACACTCAGTTTAACTTATCAACTTACTCATAGATAGACGGTTAGACATAAGCATCGAACCAAAATCTGGGGAAACTTCTGTTGTGATTTTTAGGAATGAACATCAAGTAATGAGATTTGATTCTAGCCTAAGCCGAATTCGTCTAAAACATGTCCATGAGCCAAACTATAGGACACACACCCTTCTAGATTGTTTCCACTCGACCTTCCAGCCCTATCCACTTTTCGTCCTCCAACCGCACCACTGCCACCTTTGATTCATGCCCAAGGTGGTGTTTGTTATGTGTCTATTGCTCTTTCCAATTTTGGTGTGTATTTGTTGTAAACCCTATTAACTTCTGTAATAATGTTGCAACTTCCCATTGCCATTTGGGTTAACTTCGGTATCAAGTTGACATTTGTCTATTCACAAGGAACTTCATTACTTGCCAAGAGTATTTACGAACAGAGCAAAAAGTTCTTTTATTATCTTTTGATTTTACACTTAAATTGCTTGCTACTTGTAATCTTATCATATAACAAATTTTTTAATGTTCACCGTGATCATTGCTTATAAATATGATGCTTTGGTTAGGTGTGAACTCATGCAATTTGAAACCCTGAGTCGTAACACTGTCCATTGAATTCCTTGACAAAATTTTTATAGGATTCTCGTAAAAAATTTCTCTAACTTCTCTCTTTGTAGCTTGTCTTGAGTAACCTTTCTACGAAAGACATTTAATTGGGTTTTTTGTTGATCAATTGACTTCAGAGGCTAATTGAGACCTAGTTTCCTTCTCATCGTTATGCTCTTTGGGTTTGATTTATGTTACATACATACCACAAAATTTTTATATATATACATATCTAACAGCTAAATTTTTATATTTATATACGTATCACTAAAATCGTTGACATCACATTAAAATATCACTATCACTTACTTTTCAAAAGTAAAACACAATTTTTATACCTAGGTTTTTAAAAACAAGATGCTATAAATGTTAGATATGTACATATCTAGCACTTAAATTTTTATACTATCGGTATTAGATATGTAAATACATCAGAACTATGTGCCATGCATGTAAATTTCCCTTAGTTTATTACCTTAGTAAGATCTTGGTAATTATGTTTTTTTTTCACGGATAATATGGAATCCAACATATATGTGAGCTTGGTTATGCTTGGTTTGATATTTTTATGAAGGGTCACCGTACTCTGGTAGACTATTCTTCAGATATAATCCTTTTAATTTGATTTACATATTTGTAATTCACAGGTTTTCTTCTGCACTATCAAAATTGGGCTTTGTTCTCTCAGAGCAGGGCTTTTCTAAAATGCTGGTTCCAATCTGCATATTAATCAGCATATGTTGCAGTGCTTTTGGATTTATTTGCCAGGTATCTTCAGTTTTTCACCCGAGTCTCGCTATAAAGTATTGGTTATGCTTTATTATAAACTTTGAAGGACATGAGTTCCTTATAAACAAGCATGTTGTAAATGCTTTGAACATTACATGTCAGTTGGTGGCACACAAACACACAAACATACGTACATACATAAATACATACATACATGCATATATATGTATGTATGTATGTATGTTTGTATGCACTTATGCCCAACGATAACAGGAACTGGTCTCTTTTGTTTTTATCCAATCCCATCAAGGAATTGTCAAATGTCTTAAGGCGGATAATCATTTAGCTGGTTTCAATGCGGGAATTTCAAGCTTCAAAATTTTTTTTCTTAAATTTTTTTTATGTATTGAATTTGAAATATTAAGAAGAATTCCTTTCATTCATGGAATCAAAATTTTTAAGATAATTTAGTTATTGAAAAATTATTAAACCTGAAAGTTTCTAATGTATTAGTTGAGATGCCTGACAAAGAAAGTAAACTACGCATGCTTGTTTGATGGTATAATATGATCATTTGTTTATGTAATAGAAACAAAAGTTCAGCATCAAATTATGATTTTACAAAATCAAGGATCAAATTCCTAGTAATACTTGATGGTTGAAAATGATAATAAACAGCTGCCATTTTAAACGATGCATATATGAAGAGTAAAATTAAAGATTTAAAAAAAAAAGGTGAAAATATCATTCCAAATGTTTTGATTTCTTAAGAGTCCTTAAGATGCATAGATTCCTTTTTATTAGAAGAAATTCTACATTAGAGTTTTTGAAATTACAATTCAGAAAGCAATCTTGAACGCCTAAGAATGATGGATGAGATATAGGAAGATGTGTGCTGCAAATATAGCTCTTAAAAAGAAATGAACCTTTTTTTTTTGTACAACCGATCCAAACTAAGTACAAGAAGCTTCATATTATGATGAATTAATGGACAGTGTTTTATTATATCTTCCTATGTTCAGCATCAATGCATGTGCTGCCAGGTTCCAAATCTTGTTTCTATTAAATGCTAGTATTGTTTTCATTGTGGTTGTGGACAGACTCGAGGACTGAAACATGGGAGGGCTATTGTAGTTTCCACATGCGCTGCAGTTGCCTCTATTGTAACTGGCGTTCTTGCTGGTATGTTTGCCCTTGGGGAAAGCCTTCCTTCTGCTCCAGTGGCACGACTTTCTTTGTTGCTCGGATGGTAAACTTTTTATCAATTTTTTTTTTATTGTTTCTAATGGCATTTATATACATACCCCACAATTCTTACGCATTTACATATCTAGCACCTAAACATTCATATTTACATGCATACCACTCAAATCCTTAAATCGCATAAAAAATACCACCATCATTATTTTCTGAAAGTGAATTACATCTTTTCTTGAAATAAAGGCCAAGAAATGCACCTTTTTATGCATAGGTTTATTACACCAAGATGTTATATGCATAAATATCAAACTTTGGGCATTAGATGTGTAAATACATAAGAATTGTGTGGTGTGTATGCAAATTTCCTTTTTTTATTTAAACTTGTGTTTCTTTTGGGAAAAATTTAAGCTGAAAAATAAAGAAATGGAAATTAAAACTATATTTGCTATTGTTGTGTTTGTCCAGGCTGTCATTAAAAGGAAATAAAGCAAGTAGGAAGAAAGTTAACCTTTTAAGTAGGATTCACCCAGTTATTTCTTCTGAAACGCTTTGAATGATAGGACAAATCATATTTGGTTGTTATTCAAGTTTCATTTTTGTCATGCTCTTCTTTCACATCTGTTTTCTAATACCATAAATATTGAGAAACATGATATGAAGCATGACATATTGGGGTGTAAACAAACCAAACATGAGAGCTGAATGAACGAGCCCGGGCTCAGCATGTGTTCGGCTCATTAAAAAATATCACTGTTCGTGTTCGGCTCATTAAAAAATATCAAAAAAATATCACTGTTCGTGTAAATATCACTGTTCGTGTTCGGCTCATTTATATTCCAGAACAATCCTTTATCCCACTAAGTGGGTTTCCCTTTTTCTCTATTGCGTCCTATATGAGTGTCATTTTTCATTTAATTCTATTAAATTAAAGTTCATATACAATATGCCCAAGTCTTTCTAGGTCTACCTCTCTGTCTTTTTTAACATAAGTCAAATCTAAAACATTTACTCTTTTAACCGGATCACCGGATGGTCGACGTTTAACGACTCATTTATATTCATTTATATTTGGAACACAAAAAATTTGTTCGTGTTCGACTTGTTTGCTTAGCGAATCGAATAAGAGCTGTTTGCGAATAAAGAGTTATTTTGACAGTCCTAGTCACACAGCTGTAGGATGTTAAGAGTTAGGACGAGATTTAAATCTTATTATTTATATTAGAATATCACTTAAATATAATTTAATATATATTTATTTTATTTTTAATTAGTAATTTTAATTGATTATAAATCTTTGTAGCTTTGTAGTATTACTCACCAATTATATATAATTTAGTTGTTTCGAGACAAAACGAGCTGAACTCAAACGGACAAATCTTTATTCGTGTTCGACTCGTTTATTTATCGAACGCGAAAAAAAAATTATTCGTGTTCGAGTCGTTTGCTTAGCGAAAGAATTGAACACGAGCTTCTTAACGAGCCAAACAATGAGCCATTTTTAAAACTCTGATGACATATAGTAATCATGGCAAACAAGCCCTCCAAATAAATGTTCATAAAATAGAAACGAAGGAAAAATAGTGTTCCCATGAAATGGCTTTCCCTTTTTGTTTAGTTTTTTGAACACAATGTTTTACAATATTATGATATATGTACATCAAGGGCAATTATAAAGAATTGCTAGAGTTAAAAAAAAGGACAAATACATAATGCATGAAGCCAAATATTTTCTATACAATAATATAGAAAAGGAACAATATATTGGAGAATGGTTAAAACAGGAGAATATCGATAAATGTTTTTCGGTTACATTTTTGTTAGGTAAAAATGATTTGAAATCTTTTATCAACTAAATCATTTGACTCATGATACTCCTGTAGAATCCTTTAGCTGTATAACATCTTGTTCAACATTGTATTCACTATTAAGAGGAAGGACAACTTTTTCGATTGGTAAGATTAGTTCGATTATCTCATTAATCAAAAGATGAAGTGATCTTTCCAAAAGTTCTAGTAGGGAAGGTTGTGAGACCTCGTTTCATAGAACCGATACTAAAGAGCAAGAGAGGAAGCGAGAAGTTGGAATAAAAAGTGATTTTCACTCTATAAATTGTTGAGTGGGGAGACAGAAATGAGATCGTAAGGATGACTTACCAGGGAAATCGATCAACATATTTGTCGAGCAGAGAGGAGGTGGAGACGTCTTCGTTCGTCTCAGCGAAGCAGAGAAGAGGCGGCGTTGGTTTCAAGCAAAGAGGAGGTGAGTGCAGGAAGGCCTATGGAGTGAGTGCAAAAAAAGAGGAAGAAGAAAGAGGAGCTTCCTTGTGTGCTTAAGGGGTTTGACTAAGCTCTAGCGTAAGATGCGGGAGGAGGGATTCGGTAGTGCACGTCTGAAGGAAGCGTTCGAGCTGAAGGAGAGAATGGAGGGGCATACTTTCGGGTTCCAATTAGTGGTGGATTCTCTCGTGCAATTTTGACCGAGGAGAGGTGAGGGTGAGTTTTAAGTGATTTAATATATATATATAGATTGTTGCTTTTCTGCCCGACAAACACCATCTTGTCGGTAGAGATGGCATTGACTACCCGTTCTTATGCTACTGCACTTGCCGATGACCTCTCAACTCCTCTTTCAAAGATTGGTTTTCATACAGATAAGTCTTGCAATGTTCCACATTCTTTCCACGAGGCTCTTGAAGGTGGTGGTGATCACACCTTCATTAAAAAATTTGAAAAAAAAAATGGGAAGCCTGCTCTTATTCTTACAGATGTTGAAACCAGTACTCTCACATCTTTTTGGCATTTTGCTCTAGTGGGGAAATTTTTTTATGATCACCCAAAACTTGAGATCATTCGAAAATAATTTGATGCTATGAAACTGTTGGGCAGTTGGAATATTGGTTTACTTGATGGTTCACACATGCTGATTCAGTTATCTCACGATGTCGATTACACGCATTTTTCTCCGAAAGTTATCAAGATCGACAATTGTTATGTGAAAATTCTGAAGTCGACTGTTGATTTTGATCCAACAACGAAGCCCTCTATCATTCCTGTTTGGATAAAATTTTTGGGGTTAAAATTATATCTGTTCAACTTGAAAATTTTCTACTCCTTAGCAACTGCTTACGGTAAGCCTCTCAAGATTGATAATCCTACGCTTGCTGTCACCGGACCCTCTGTAATTTGTGTGTTAGTTGAGAGAGATATCACTCAACCAGCTCCGGATGAGGTATGGATTGAAACCATCCACAATGGGTATTGAAAAAAAGTTGAAATAGAACCGCACTCTTTTTATTGCTCTCATTGCAGTATGTTTGGCCATAGTTCTACTATTTGCTATCGCTTGCATCTTCATCTAAGGTTGGATATTGCTAAAGATCAGCCACCTACCATCTCTGTTGAGAAGATGCAACCCGATCCTCTTTCCAACTCCGCAGTTCCTGACGAAGTACACCATACTATAGGTATTGATCCAGTCGTGCTTATACCACCCACTGTTATTGAAGAGGGCTCACGTACATGCCAAGACACACGAGAGTGCTCTTTTGATCCAATACAATATCAGCTGGTACGACATATAATTGCTTCTAATGTTCAACAATCTACACATGTCCGACACACTTTAGATCAATCCACTGATCTGGTGAGCCAATATTTGGATGAAAAATGAGAGGTCTATTCTAAAAGAAAGAAGAAGAATGGAGGCCGACTCGAGCTCGGGAACTTATTGGAGGATACATTGGTTGCAATGACACTCATCTTACCAATTTATTAGCTGTTTCCTTCCCTATAACTAGAAGAAGAGGCAAGGCCAAATTGGGTCGCTCTCTAGCCACCTGATACTATGTACTTCGACACTTTTAAGCTTTTTCTTTAAGTCTCTCATGTGTTTTTCTGTATTTTCTAGTTTTGGAATCATTTGTGGTTACTGTGTGAGCATGGTGCCATGCTTGGGCCCTCCCACAAATTGTATCTGTATCTTTCTTTCTATTTAATATTTCAGCCTTTAGGTTTTCTATATATATATATATATATATAATCATTAAATAGAAAAATTAGTAGGATTGCATAAAGTAAAATAATGAAAATTTTAATACTTAAAAATAATGTAAAGCTAATAGTTATTTAAATCAACAAATTAATTAATTTTCTCAATAAACATATTCATGCTTATTTTAGATTTCAAATTTTAGAAGAGTTGACATCAAGATATATCAAATAACAAATTAATTGACATCGGAGTGTTTACTCATATTCTTATACTATAATAATATTTTACTTTTTCTAGATCAAATGTATTTACTGTTACTCTTAATAGTTATGTTGAAATCACTGCAAACTCATGATTTATAATTCTATTTAATTTTTGTTCATATTTTAGGGAATGATTTGCACTTAACATTTTTTAAAAATTATTATAGATATTGAATATTATACAAATATATTGTCTGATTGTAGATGAGAATGAAATAACAGTTATTAAATAGTGATTTTCATGGTGTGCTTGCATGTGCATGTTTGGTTATGATGGAGTCATTAATGATAATAACAGGGAACATTAAGGTACTTGTGAACGTTAATGAAAAATGATATTGATATTAAATACTTTAATTACTACAATTTTTAGACGCCGCTTCTTTGACGGCATTACATATATAGAATGATATATATATATTATTAATATAGTAAAACTCGTTGAATAACATGAAATATCGTAATTGATCATATTCTTAAACTATCAAATATTTTATATTGATTTTTTTAAAAGTTTAAATGACATATATATTACTTTCTTTCTTCCTTATATTACTATAATTTAGGAGTGCGAGTATTCTTTGCCTTTTGTTAACTCACTGTTATTTTGACTAACTTTTTAGGTGTAAATAATTTCTTAAAAGATGAATAATAAAAGAGAAAATATTTATAGAAGATGTAGATAAACTGTAATGAGGTAAATTTAACTATACTGTTTTAATTATATTTCTTTGTGGCTCTTTTATTTGTTAAATATTTTTTATAAAATAAGTATAGAAAATTTATTTTCTACTAT